CTCAGCGCGCCCGTCCGCCGCCATGACTGTCAAATGGATGTCAGATTTCGGGTGCGGCGGTGGTAGTGTGGCGGAGAAGAGAGCAGGGCAGAGCAACGAATAATAATTGGCCAATTCATTTCCAGGAGTAGCGTGGGGCGTGGGCGCGCAAGGGCCCGATAGGCTGCTCCCCAATGGGTTTAGACGAAGTGGAAAACGGAGTGACTTATTCCGCACACAGAGATTCCGCGGACGTTCTGATTAGGCAAGCAGTAAGTACGTGGAGTGTTCTTCTCCCTGTACCGGAACAATTATCAGGAGAGTGAACAGTAAGGGGAAAGTGAAAGTAACAATACATAATAATCTCTCTCATATTTCAGGAAACAGAGTGTCAGGTATAATGCTCACACGCGTTCTCGTTGCGTTTTGACACTTAAGTCAAATCCTCTTCGTACTAGTCTCGACTACTGTTCACCGGAAGAGACTCCGCGAAATGACCTGTTGAACTGATACGACGGCGACATGGGCGCATACGGTGAGTGGACGACTCTTTTCGACGAGAGCTGGCGCACACACGTTTGAAGAGGATCCGCACCGCCGGCATCGCATGCGTTAGAGAGGTTATGTGGAACTCACCTCCGTTCGGTTCAGGCTCAGTCCCGGCCTCTCTGGTGCTGTGTTGTGGATGTTGCGGAGTGGAGAGGTGGTCGGCGGTGATGGCGTGTCGCCGGCCGGCGCGGCGCCTTCGGTCCGCCCTTCTCTGTCCTTGTCGCACGGGCCGATGTGAGTGAGAGAGGCACCGCGGACTGTTGTGTGAGTGACTCGTGCCGGGCCACCGCAAGCAGCAGGCCTACGGTGGCAGCAGCTCGGCTGCGGCGGGCCGGGCGGCGGGTCAGGACCTCTGGGCAGGGCAGGGCAGCGGCAGTGGAACTACAAGCCACAAGCCGCGCCAGCCGCAGCCGGTGTGCGACAGAGAGAGGGATGGCTGACTGTATCCGCGCGAGAGATGTGCCGTATATTCCCCTGCGCTTACACAAACTATGCTTCAGCGTTTCTGTTCGACTGGCTTTGGCCCGCGACTAGGCTGGCAAGGGACATTTTGGGTCCACCCACCCAACCACCTTTCTTTGGGTTTGCCCTGAGTTCCGCGCCTAACTCCGAGCAGAATAGAGTTATTGAACAAATTGCGTCCTCTTAAAGGACAGTTTGCGTTCGGATCAGCTCGGCCGCCTATCTAGCAAATTAAGTCTCCGCCGAGAGTACTGAGTTTGTTCCCCTCCTCTAATGCCGGAACAGCACCGTCGGAATAGCAGCCTATTATTTTATGACTTTAACCAGCGCAAAGTTTACTGATCATGCCATCACGATAGCAGAATGCCCGTGTGGGTGTGCGTGTGTGTGTGAAACGAGCTAGATTTATTAGCTTTTCTCCCTTATTACTCCTTTTAGCAAGGGCAGCTTCTCTGACGCAAAAAAAAAATCATAAAAAAAGGACGCAGTGATGTGGGAGGAGGTTGAAGAGCGGCACAGAAGTAGTGCTGAAGAGGAGGATCCCTATGCGCCCTGCGGCTCAGTGTGGTGTGGCGCCAGCATCGTGGTTAGCGGGGCTACTGCCCCCCCCCCCTCCCCAATCCCCCTTTCCCTCGTGAGGGCGGACGACCAGTCTTGACGCATTCTTCTGCGCACTCGTAGTGATTACCACCTCTGTGATCCTGCCTTGAGTTCACCGGGGAAAACTTGAAGAGTATACGCCCTAGGATTATTTGTGATTAATAAATAGGCGAAATCATTTTTTTTGGAACAACTTTTGGTTCATTTCGTTCAACATACACACGGCAACACATTACTCATTAAAACACTCATCCCTTTAATAAATTAAACTCATCTCAGAAAAGAAAAACAATAACGGCGTGCTTCGCACACGGTACTATCCTAAGAACTGAAACACTGCGGGATAAAGTCCCTTTCTTTATACAATTACTGCACTAGTTAAACGTGTCACATCACATCACACTGAGTGGGCCATTTTGACTGTAAAACTTACAAATATGTTGATGCCCGGCCAGAACTCTGTTGCGACCATGTGGGTAATGAAGCTGTGACAACGCGATGAAGTCCGGGAGGTAAT